TGGTTCTCAGAAGAATGGAGAATCACTTTCAGTCTGCACTTCAAAACACATGATTCGATAAGGATGTGGACAGACTGAAAAGGCTACTCAGGAAAGGAAATAGTATAATATTCATTTTCTCCATTAATGACAAAGCTTATTGTGGAAAAAAAAATGTCACTGAAAGGCAAGGAATCTAATGGTGAACAACAGCTTCAGTGTTTAGCCAAGAATAAACTACTCAATTATTAGCTGAGCTGTCTCCTCCACGAGAAAAAGTCATATTAACAACCAGCAAAATCCAATCTGATGACAATTTTACAATGCAAGTTCTAAACATTTCCCACTGGTGAAATGACAGAACCAAAATTCTCCAGTGAATTATGTCAATGCCTGTGAGAATAGAAGATTATCTAAGAGTTGGCGAGCAATAATAGAACTTTTCAGTCATATTAAGAGAGACGTCTTGGGGCAGGACGGGGGGGTGTAAATACATCCCAATTGCTTTTATAATTCCTTCTATTGTATAGACTATATATATTTTTTCCACTTTTATAGATTAATGTGGAGGCATTCTAAAAAAACAAACAGGCATTCAACATCAGGAATCACAAAAGTGGGGAGATTTGCCTAAGATAGCCCTAATTCAGCATACAGATGCCTATTTCCATAACTATATTACAGCCATCTGATCTCATGCCATGCAGAAAATGAGGGCTGGGCAATGAGAAATGGCAGCAGTTACTAAGTTTCTTAAACAGGAAAATGTTTCATCAAATGAGACAATTTGCAGGGAGGGACAGAAGGACCTGGGTGCTATGTTTAAGGTAATGAAATGCTGCTTGTGAAAAACTGAGTTTTATCTGCACTTCTACCTATATCTGAGGGGTTCAAAACAATTCATCCGAGATTTTCAAAAAGTTTTGGCAAGCACATTTCTCAGACCATATATTTTTCCACTCTCTTGACAGATGTTTTTAGCACTTGCATTCTTCATAGCACTCTGCATGGTCAGTGGACTTGGCAGGAGCTGTGCTATGAACATGCAGAGCACTATATAATGAATGCCATGAACTCTTATTGACTCTTACCTCGTGCATCTTATTCGGGACGTCCTAAACTAAAGGGTGCTTTTGAACGTAATCAGTGAGCAAAGTAATTGCTCCTTCATATAGACTTAAGAGGATTGTGAAGAATAGAACCCTGGAGGTAAGAGAAGAATGATGAAGAAAATAGCGATTTTGCCGAGATATTTCTTTTAAAAAAGAAAGACAGAAACATAAAGTCTCTCATGTTCTGGATGCTAGGATTAATTTTTCTTTCATAAAATGAATGCTGTAGACAGGTATTTTAAATTCAATTCTGACAAAAATGTGGAACTGGCTAAGAATGCAAAGCGGTTTTGAGAGGAAAGCATTGCAAGTGGATGTAAGAAAAGGAACGGAAAAACAACTTCAGTAAAAGTGTGAGTCTTCCGAAACATGAAGGTACTACTACGGAGTAAAAATGATCCATTTACTGCATGACTACTGTAGCAAATGACCAAAAAAAAAACAAAACCAGTTCATTTTTCAGTACATCTACATGGGATATGAGGGGAAATACAGAAGAATAACTAAACATTGGAATAAATTAGGAAAAAAACAGTCCCTGGATAGAGCAACATTTGTCAGGGTTGGTCTAGGTGTACACGACTGCGCCTCAAACCAAACCTGCTAGGGCTGCTGGTAAATGCAGTCAACTAACTAGGCTCCGGCCTGGGGGAAATTTGAGCAGGACATGGGAAGCTACTGGACACGGCACAAGAAATTGCTGGATACAGACAACAGCAACATGAGAAGCTGACGGAAGTTGCAGATAGTGCTGGGAAGGATGACTAGCCTTTGAATGCAAGTTATGTGAGAAACAGCTGAACTCCAGGAAGAACAAAAGGGGAGTACAAGAGACGTCTCCTCTGAGGGATCCCCTAGAGCCAGCAGAGTCTGGAGGACCGCATAAGGCGTACCTACAATGCTGAGATCCCTGATGGAATAGTATCAGAAATATCAAACTTGGGGTAGTAGTAACTTGCACGGAGAGTGCAAAACTAGAACCAACAGGGAAAACTCACTAGGAGAAGGTCGTTTATTTGGGAGGAGACAAGAGTAGAGAAAGGGAGTTACAAAGGCAGTGATAGCAAGGGTTGAAAAGGAGGGAAAGGGGACAGTAATCACATGCAAACATGTGCTCAGTGTTGTCCGGGGGTACCTAGCAGGCAGCCCTGCACTTGATTACTGCAGCTGAAATCAGGACAACAAAGCAAACTTGTTCTTCTGACCACAAGAGTCAAATTTGCTAGTGCAGTTAAGAGAGGCAGGGGTGGGAAGGAGGCTTGGTATTTTCCTTGACAGGCAGGAAAATGCCTGGACAGCATCATCACGCTGGTGCCTGTTCTAGGCCTTACAGCATCACCACCTTCCCCTTTTGGCCCTTCATGTCCATGACACTCGTATCACTGGAGGAGAACGTAAGTTTTAGGATTCCATTCATTTTAACACACAACATCATCATCACTTCCAGAATATCCCCATGGACAAAATAATGTATTTCCTAACTGCTCTGGAAGATGTCACTAAGCTTCAGAGCTCTGTAAAAACACAATTTGTTTTTATCTCAGCCACTCTGCAAAAGCTCGATGGAACATTTGGATCAATGTGTACTTCCCTTTTCACTACCCCTCTGTATCCTTTTGATAGTTGGGATACATTTGACAGCCTTTGAGGTGGTGGGAGAAATGGAAAGGTCACTGAATGTAGGACTCAAACACCTGAATGACATCATTAAATATCCACATAATATTTGCCAAACAATTCTCAGCACTGAAACTGAAGTTGTCAGTCAGAAACTTTCAAGTCCCCTTCAGAGCAACAAGGTGGAAAATGCACAATAGGCTCCGTACATAGAGATGACTGTGAAAAAATTTCTCCTATAAACTTTGTATCTCTGGTGCAAAAGTCTTTGGATCTCTGGTGGAAAATATTTGTGCATGCAACCTGCCCAAATATACTTCATGGAGCCATACAGCTCTTAGCATTGCTGAAACATCCGTTGAGAAGTCAAAACAAAAAAGTCAGAGTAGCAGCTCTTAAAATGATCCTTACTTACCACCACAAAATAACATTCACAGGGACTTCCGCCCACTGTTTTATTTTACTCACTCTAGAATGATGCATGCACGACATTTGCAAGACTACAGATGCAATGAAAAAGCCACATACCATGCAGCTCAGAATATATTTTGCTTTGGTTTGAACTAAATGTTTGTTCCACAAGGATTTTGCCCAGCTTTTCAAACTTTGTCACTGCTTTACAGATAAGGCATTTCATACTTTTCTTATTAAGCAATTGCCATAAATAAGCTTATAGTGTGATAAGGCCTCCTGTGTATGGGCAGCACACCAAAACAATAAGTAGTACTGTTTTGTGACATTTAGTCAGAAAAACAAGAGTGTTTTACCATACAAACAACAGTCGATTCTGCATAGCCTAAGTATGCTGGCAATCTACTGAACATCCCCTGATATAGTCAATAAAATGTGCCACAAATTCTTAAGTCCCTAGGGTAACATCTCTCCAAAAAAAAAAAAAGAGATCAAAATACAGAGTGGAAAATAATGTGACAATCTATGAAGTATTTTTCAGTGTAAAACTTCTCAGGCTTTTACTTTTTAGATGTATGCAACTGCTGAAAAACACTTATGGATAGCAGGAAAAGGCAGAGTAAACTCTGCACTTCAGAATTACGAAAAGGACATCTTCAAAGATACTTAATCAAATACCTACCTTTGGCAAAGCAACTCAAGATCCTGGAAAGTATTTCATGAGGAAGAATATTCCTTAGCAAATCACAAGGAAGAACACAGACAATTCACAAGCCCCAATTCTGAACTAAACATGGTTCCGTATCAGAATAACATATCACACCAATGCTATACTCGAGGAACATGGTTCCTATCACTGGGCTGAGGACTGCTAGAGAGAGAAATGTAAATGCCAATCATTCACCAATTCCTTTCTCACTTATCCACATACTCCTACACTGCAGCAAACTTCTGGCAGAGAGGAGCCCAGAACACAGATTAGTCTCAGTTTCCTCTCTGCAATGCCAAGCAGATAAAGATACAGTCCCAATGCAAATACTGGGGAATGTAATTGCTACTAAGGCAGGTCTGGGAGCATTTCCCAGATGCAGGACCAGATTGCACATTGGAGGGAAAACCAAGTACACAGCTTCTGCTCTCTGAATCCCATCTCTGAAAGAGAACGGCTTCAGAGAGGAGTCACAGGGCAATGCAGAAAGAACCCTCCTGTTCTCTGGGCACCTAAAATAAGATAGCAAGGTTTATTGCAGAGCTCTCAGCCCACAGTCTACACACATACATTTTGACCCAGATTATACTAAAATCCTAAGCAAGCACAGATACCTGAACAAAGAACACTCCCTTTGCACAACAGAGTATCCAAGTAAATATTTGCGTATGCAACCCTCCACCAGATAGCCCACCTGCAAAGAAAAGGTTGCTAAATCTGCTACTGCATCCATTCAGCAGATTGCAGGCCAAATCCACAAAAGCCTTGAAGCTAAAGCCAAAGAGATCTTAGATCCAAAGTTTGCTAATCTCCTAAACTTGGGAGTCATCCTACAGTATTATAGGGCTTTCATCCTGCTTTTTTAATTTTATAACTGGCAAACAAGCTTAGGTTGGTTTTCCCTTCCCCCAACCACTCACCTGAGCACTACCATTTTAGACCAGGTTACAGGGATTGACTTTACCCTAACAGCATTCCACATCAGCAAGAAGTAGCTGCTGTCTGTAACTTCAGAATACAGAATAAGCAGCTGAACAAAAACAGCTTTCAATAAACTCCTGATATCAACAGGTTGATGGCAAATGTAACAGGAAGCAACATTAACTGGTTTACATCTCATTCCTTACTATATGTCATATGAACAGCTTATATAAATCTTTATTGCAACTCACCAAAATTTCTCTTTGTTCTTCCAGATTTTTTAGAAAATTTGAAAACTCATGAAGTGATGCATCTGTAACACATAACCAAAAATGAGTTTACTCACATTTTAGGGTTGCATAGCAAAATATAGTCATTATTACTCATGTTTTACCTACCTATATATCGCTCATCATCTGTCTCTGCATCACCAATGAATTCAAATTTGAAGTCTCTCAGAGAATGGGCAAATTTCCTCTGGGCTGCTGAAAGATCTGCAAAGAAGAGAACACAGATTTAAGGTGAGAGAATCATTTTGAGAAGGCTGTTAGATCCTTCTGCCCCCACCATTATCAACTTCTATGAGAAACTCTTAACACTGGTACATAAGTACACTACAAAATATACCGCATTGTCCAATCCTCTTCTGTTCTCTCTTCTGGGAATCTGTCACACAGGTTTCTTTATACAAGGCTATAGGTTAGAAATCAGGTGCAATCATGTGTACAGTGTTAGACGTTATGCTTCACTGTCCTACGAGACAGGGCACACCAACAGATCTGCAACTATACAAGTTTAAGCCACAACACTCAGAGTCTCTGAGCTGTGCCAGCAAAAGGATATTCTACTAACGAAATTTGCCTGGATGTGACAGCACAAACACATAGCTTAGGGCTCTCTATATACTTTACAGAGGTAGCTCTGCAAGAGAAAGTTTGCTTATAAATGATATTTAAGCAAATCATCACACTGGAACTTTCTTATTTGTCCTTCTCTCACCTCCAGTGTTACAGTGCTCTGAGGTCGTACTGCTCCCTATTCTCCCCTCTGGAAGTGGTTCGAAAACCTGTGCCTGCGCATCTCAAAATACAAGCTGCAAGAAGTCATAAAGGATTGAAGAGGGAAAGACAAATAAGCAAAATACTTCCCATAGAGAATGAAACACTAATATTTGAAATATTAGAGCCGCCTCTCAGATGCTGGAGATAGCAGGCGGGACCGGTGACCGTATCCCTCGCATCCAGTGCAAGGGCAGCATCGCTGACTTTGCCTAAAGAGCAAAAGGCTGAATCCGAGCACTGAGTTTCTCCCAGGATCAGAAAGCTGCATCCATGCATTTCTTTTTCTTTTTTTTTTCCTGAATCTGCTAGGGGATGGGAATTACTGAAGGAAGGGCTAGCAAACAGCTGGAAGCAGTAACTACTGGCAGTGCCTTTCCTCAAATCAATTCTGTGATCTTTAGTAAATGTTCCAGACAGAACTTTGGAAAGCATTTCCAGGAGCTTTTGGA